CCTCAACAGAAATTAAGTGAAGCAGAATCTATGGGAGTTAAGTAGCATGTAAGTGATTAAGAGGCTGCTTTATGATTTTTTCATCCAGTATATCAYGTCAATCCAGCTAAAATACAAGGGTTCATTTCTACTTGGTTTGTGAATCTGGATGATTTAGAAGGGTATCAACCGGAGGATTCATAAGTGAAATAAACCAGACTCAGAAAATCAAGGGTTGATTGTTTTGCTCTGTGGAAGCTAAACATAAAGATCAGGGAAGATCAGTGGAGTAAAAGAAGGAGGTAGAGAGGAAGGGAAGAGGGAAGGGAAAGTGGGGGCACCTGGGGCTGAAATGGAGACGATCAAATTCCATGCATGTATGATTGGGTCGAAATGAACCCAACTATTACATATAACTACGATACACTAATTAAAAAATGGTATCAACTTGCATTTTTAAATTTTGTTATTGATGTATTATACTAATAGTGGGATTCCTTGTTACATATTTATACATGCACATAACCTAATTTGGTCTATTTTATTCTCCAGTGCCTCCCTTTTCCCACCTGCTTCCCTTACCAGATCTCCTTCTCTACCCTATCGCTCTCTCTTCTGGTTTCATGAGTCCACTCCTCATTTTTTTCTTTTTCTTTTTTTCTTTATAGCTTCCATATATGAGATAAAATATATGACTCTTGATTTTCTAAGTCTGGTTTTCGTCTTACTTAACATATTGCTCTCAAGTCCAATTCATATTCCTTCAAATGACAATTTTGTTCTTTATGGATGAATAAAATTCCATTATACATTATAAATTTGTCTACATTATAGATGTATACCACGTTTAAAAATCCATTCATCCATTAATGGACACCTCAGCTGGTTCCATAACTTGGCTATTATAAATTGTGCTGCTATAGACAAAGGCATGCACGTGTCTCCGTAGTATGATGACTGTAACTCTTTTTTTAAAATTTTTAAGTTGTTAATGGATCTTTATTTATTTATATGTGGTGCTGAGAATCGAACCCTGTGCCTCACACATTCTAGGCAAGTGCTCTACCACTGAGCCGCAGGCCCAGCCCAACTGTAACTCTTTAGGATAAATACAGAGGAGTCGATAGCTGGGTCAGATGGTGTTTCCATGCCTAGTCTTTTGAGGAACCTTCATACTGACTTCTACAATGTATTGGCGTTGACCTCTTCACCTTCTCTTTGACTTCCAATTTAGAAGAATCTTTTTACCTTGGATTGCTTAATGAGATAAAAATAGGATTAAATAGAGGTTACCAAATCATCTAGTTTTTATAGCATTTTCTTCTTTCAATCCAATTTAGAATCAAGGAATTTCAAAACCTATGTTGGTTCTGTTTCTGATATGAACTATAAAGGAATGAAGCAATATGTGGAACAGGAATTTATTAGGACAATTCTAGATACCAGAGTGTCAAAGCATATCAAGTGACAACGAATTTTCTGCTTACCGACCCAGTATTTACCTTTTATCTCATAAAGTATATTAAACWGTGAGGAAACTTTATTTCGGATGACATTTATAGAGATAATTTGTTAGAAGCTCAGATAATCAAAACTAAGAGAATGTTGATTAGTCATTAAAATAACATTTAAGGGCTGGGCTTGGGCTCAGTAGTACTAGAGCACTTGCTTAGCATGTGTGAGACACTGGGTTCTATTCTTAGCACCAATATAAATAAATAAATAAATAAAATCAAGGTCTATCAACAACTAAAAATTTGTTTAAAAATTTAAGAAGAGATTATAATACCAAATTTATAATACCAAACAGCTAATGCGACGAGATCACAATAATTGATAAAATGCAGAATGAAAGATAATGTTTGATCTGCTGTGTTAAAAAAACATAATTCATTCATATGGGGGGAAAAGACAAAAAGGGAAAAATTTAACAGGAATATAGCTGTTAATCTGTCTGCTTCTAATTTTGTGCATTTTTCAAATGTGCAATAGTAAACTAGATTTTTGTAACAATGGCTCCAGGCTGCAGAGTACTAGCTGTGCCTTGTCATTTATTCTCTCAGCAGCTTTGGAGATAGATGCTGTCATTAGATAAAGGAGTGAAAGTGGAGAGCTAAGAAAAGTTGCTCCAGCCAAATTCTATCAAAGGCGGTTATTATGGTTTCTGTGTGAGGTGTTCCCCCAGAGCCCATATGTGGACAATGCAGGAAAGCTTATGGGTGAAAGGATTGGGTTATAAGGACTTTAATCTAATTAGTGTTATTAATTCACGGATAGGGGTTAACTGGGTGGTAACTGTGGGTCGGTAGGATGTGGTCACTGAGGTAAGATTCCCCAGGTAAAATGGCAGGAGATGGTCCTCACTCAATGGCTGACCTTTCCCTCCTCGGCTCCACCTTGGCTCACCTGATCTAGCTTTAAGTACAGAAGACTGTATATGTTTCTTGTAAATTCTTGGCACACCTTCCTAAAGTAAACAGAAGATGAACCAACACTGGTGAATCACCTGCACTCAGACCTGGGCAGAGAGAAGCCAAGGGAATGATCCTCCTAGGAATGGGGCCAAGGGCACTCTTTTGGCCTTGATTSTGGACTCATGGAAAGTTTCTTGGAAGTCCCAAAATGCAATAAAACACCCCACAGAGGTATGGAGGACACATACTTCCTCGATCTTCTACTCACTCTCTTACCTTTAAGACATGGTGGAAAGAGTAGCAGAGAGTAGCAAGTCAGTCTCCTGAGGTTCACTTACATATGTTGTTAAATCCATACTGGAAAATGTACCGACTTCTATGTATTGAGACATATAAATACATGTCCTGCTTTGGACCTATATATATATATATATATATATACCCATATGTATATACATACACACACACACACATATATATATAACTTATTATAAAAATTACTTATATATAGAATCTCGGTATGTGTTTATATCCAGTAGTTCCTTCTTATCCACAGTTTTTGCTTTCCTTGGTTTCAGTTACTTCTGGTCAACTGCAGTTCAAAAATATTAAATGGAAAATTCCAGAATGAAACAATATGTTTTAAAGAACTATTACAATATTTGATCTAATTGTTCTATTTTATTATAATCTTTGATAATCTCTTACTGTGCCTAATGTATATATTAAACCTTATGGTGGGTGTGTATATATAGGAAAAAGCATTTATATCTAGGGTCAGTATTAGCTGCGGTTTCGAGATGCTGTTACTCAGCTACTCGATGGGTCATTTGACGACAGAAGGAACAGGGAGTGGGTAGGAGTTGGAGACAGAAACAGCATTGGATTGGAGACTGTAGCTCCTCATAGAAGAAACAATCAAAATGGCACTCTTTAAAGTCGTAGTTGTTTAACGAGCACTTGCAGTATACCTAGCTTTGTGTCTCCATGTATTCTCTCTCCCACTGATGTATTTCCTTTTATAAATATTTTCAATTGTAATACATAACACAGACATTTTAAGAAGGTGTAACTTAAGCCTCGTGGATTACTTTAAGTGGATTACTTTAAGTGTCACTACTACCCAGGTCAAGTTTTGTCAGTTTTTGCCCCATTTATCTTTATTGTCGTTGCTGTTGTGCTGGAGATCATACCCAGGGGCACTTTACCACTGGGCTGCRTCACCAGCCCCTTTTTCTTTCTTTTCTTTTTTTTTTTTTTGAGACAGTGTCTCCCTAAGTTGCTTAGAGCCTTGCTAAGAGGCTAAGGCTACCCTGGAACTTGTGATCCTCAGCATTGTGAGTTGCTGGGATTACAGGTCTGCGCCATGATGCTGAGTGCCCATGTATTTCGAAGCTATAATATTAAGTGGGAAATAAAATTTGAATTGCTCTTTCATTATAAAAGTGGCAAGAAATCACACGCACTGATATATACAGAGTTCCTCATATGCTATTTTTGTCTGTGAGAATAAAATTCCTGAAAATGAAGTTTGTTACTAAAATGTGCCCTCTTTGAGGACATTTGAATGAAGGTGGCTCAATGAAAGTAGTATGACAGGATTTTTTTTTTTTTTTTTTTTGATACCAGGGATTGAACCCAGAGGTGCTCAACCACTGAGCCAATCCCCAGCCCTCTTTTTCTAAAAATTTTTTAGTTGTAGATGAACACAATATACCTTTTATTTATTTTCATGTGGTGCTGAATATTGAACCCAGTGCCTCACATGTGCTAGGCAAGTGCTGTACCACTGAGCCACAACCACAGCCCAACCCAGCCCTATTCATATTCTATTTTGAGACAGGTTCTTGCTAAGTTGCTCAGGGCCTTGCTAAGYTTCTGAAGCTGGCTTTGAACTTGAGATTCTCCTGCCTCAGCCTCCTAAGCCACTGGGATTACAAGTGTGTATCACCATGCCGAGCTTAACAACAGGACTTCTTGTGTAGGAAATCTCTGCACCCCTCCAGTTTTCATGTTGGGTGTAGGAAATCTCTGCACCCCTCCAGTTTTCATGTTGGAGAGGTGGTGACACAGGGCCATGGCTGGGGGTATGGACCTTGAATTCAAACAGATCAACCTGGTGTACACTGTGTGACCTGGGAAACCTTCACCTCTATTAGCCTTTATTTCCCTTTCTGTAGAAAGACCAGTAAGTGTATAATGACCAGGGTCAGTGATGCACACCTGTAATCCCAACAACTTGGAAGCTGTGGCAGGAGGATTGCAAGTTCGAGGCCAGCCTCAGTAACATAGGAAGACCCTGTCTCAATAAAAAAGAAATGGGGTGTAGCTCAGTGGTAAAGCATCCTTGGGTTTGATCCCCAGGACCAAAAATATTAAAAAAGTACTATGATCACCGTGTTGGTGTCGTGACTTCATAAGGATTAAATGACAATACCCAGGCAGAGTTCCTGTTTGGTGTATAGTAAACATTAAACAACACTGTATTATTTCTGTCTTGTTGTATTAGCTCACCTGAACTAAGGCTCAGTGTGAGGTACCTGATTGCAGTACAGGGAACAGGTGCTAACTGATCCTGATTCTATGAACCTTTTCTCTTTCTTACAGCTCAGGTGTGTGTTGGCATCTTTGTGATACTGATCATATACAACTATTGGTTCCTTTACATCCCTTATTTGACATGGCTTTATTTTGACTGGCGGACCCCAGAGCAAGGAGGCAGGAGATCCAGCTGGATCAGAAACTGGCCTGTTTGGAAGTACTTTAAGGACTATTTTCCAATTCATGTGAGTAGAATTGTTTTTTATGAACTATTATATTGAGTTTGGAAGGTGGACATTTGTTTTCATCTCCTGTATCAAGCTCTTTCCTTTTCAGCGGGAGTGCCTTAATTCACTTTGTGTTCCTATCACGGAATACCAGAGACTGGGAATTTTATAGAAGAAATGTATTTCTCATAGCTCTGGGTGCTGGGATATCCATATCAAGGGGTCAGTATCTGGTGAGGGCCTTCCTCCTACATCATTCTGTGGCAGATGCCGAAGGTCAAGAGGGAAAGAAAGAGCAAGAGGGGGTCACACTTATTCTTTCAGAAGGAGCCCACTGCAGCCATGATGGTGTGAACCTCATCACCTGACCCCCTGGCCCTGCCTCCCAGTGCTGTTGCCCTGAGGACCAAGTTTCCCACACACGTGCTTTTGTGGAGGACACATTCAAATCTAAGCAGGGAGAAAGTCTGCTGTTGGGCTCAAGTTGTTAAATGACCTTTAAGATGAATTGACACAAACTTGAAGGCTGTATATGAAGGGACCTAGGCTCAGAGGCTATTTTAGAAAATTCGAAACAATTCCAAGCCAGGGAACAAAAATGAACCATGTTCTCCATTTTTCTCTTGACACAAAAACTAATCATGTGGTCTTTTAATTTCTCAATTATTGCTTTATTGTTTTATTGCTTCATCTCTGTGTGAATGTGCTATAGCTCATGAAAACTTGGGATTTGGATCCCAGTCACAACTACCTCTTTGGATTTCACCCCCATGGAATACTTGTGGCTGGAGCCTTTGGAAATTTTTGTTCCGCCTACTCGAACTTCAAGGAGCTGTTTCCCGGCTTCACTGTGTATGTTCATGCGACCTCGTGTTGGTTCCGCTGTCCTCTCTTCCGAGAATATCTTATGGGTCATGGTAAGTGGTGCCAGGTCACCGTTTCTCCAGCACACTAGGATGGCAGGAACACACAGGACGTTCACTTGGGTTTTACTTGTTCTTAGAGTGAAATCCTGTGTCCTTGTCCCCATCTGGCACCTCACAGGCTGCCTGCACATCCCTCACCTCTGCTGGACTGCAGGGACACAAAGCCTATTATCTGTTCTGTCGCAAGTGTCTATCATGGTGGCAGAGACATAGGAATGTTTGATATATTTTAATCCAAGGAAAGAATAAATTAAAGAATGCATTTTGTATATCCAGATGTGTGTGGCGGGGGAACCATAGGGCAGATAAGTGGTAAATCATACCCTTGGAGAGGTACTTGGCATACTTTAATGAATATTAGAAATGGAAATCATCCTCCACCGTGTCTTGAAGTAATGGCAGTGATACAGATCAACATACTCAACTTGCTTCTTTGTCTTCCCAGATTAACTGTTACTTGGTTCAGAAATAGCAGCTCTTGGGCTGGGGGTACAGCTCAGTGGTAGAGCATTTGCCCAGCATACTCAGGGTCCAGGGTTATATCTCCAGCACTGTGGGAAAAGAAAGAAAGGAAGGAAGGAGGTGAAAGATAAAGGAAACAAGTCCATTCTACTCTGCTACTTTGAACCAGTAGAAGGTTCAATTCTGAGAATAAAATTAATCTGAAATATCATAAAGATRCTATATACTATGTAAAAGTCAAAGCTTGTGTCGCTAAATCTTATTTCAACTTAAGAGGTTCAACTTCTTTGTTTTTCCAACTTTATAAATCTTGAACTACAACCATGAACTACAGTAACTAACAAAATGTTTTATATTTGTGGACATGGTATAGAATAATTATTCTTGTCTTGGTAGTTTCTGGATCCAAAGAAAAATGGATAATTTTTTTGAGAAATTATTTCAGGATCAAGAAGGGACATAATTAAGATATAATTTTCCATGACTTTTCAGAATTTTACTACTTTCTATTATTTTTTGAGGTTACTGTTGTCATTATATATCTTGTAGCAAATTAGTTCAAGTTGTTTCTCTTTATGAGTCCCTAAGAAGAAAGGTGTCCAGTGTGGGCTACTAAGCACACTAGAGGGCGCACTAAACTCCCAAATTACCAGGTGATCTGACCTTTGGTCTCTAGGGGGCGCACTAACCCCTTCCAAACACCAAAGGAGTGGGGTGCCTTCTCTGCTTGTTTGGCAAACATTTCCCTAGAGTTTTATAACAGGAAGAAAATTTAAAAGGAATTTTTAAACTAAAAAAAAAAAAGCACAGAAACGTATTTACAGTACACTGTTAGCTGATTAAAAGTATAACCACAGGTGAATTTGAGTAGTGTAGTTAAGAGCAGGTTTGGCAAATTCCTGGCACTGGAGAGGCAGGCGCACCCTCACCCCACCCCATTATGGCAGTGTCAGACACAAATAATCAATCTCAGAGTCTCTCCATGAAGTGACCCACAGCCTGGCTGTTTCTATAGTTGATGGATGAAAGGAAATCTTTCTGCTGTACTGGTTTATATCATGACATCTTCATTTTTGCTATAACCTTCAATCTCTTAAGCCAGTGGAGGTTTAGGCTTGTCTCTGAGTAGATAGTCCCCAGTACATCCTCCAAGAACCTGCTTCTTAGGTCAGCACAGGGCTAGTTCCCTTCTCTCAACCTGCTTGGTGACTGCCCTGTAAGGTTGTGAAAGACAACCAGACATGTACCCCAGATCTCGTGTTATAAGGAACCAGTGGGGCTTCAAAGGTCCTTTGCTACAGGTGTCTTACTCAAGAGGTCTCTGTGGCTACAAGTCCTTTCCAGTTCCACCTCCATCCCTTTCCTCTTGGCCCATCTTGGTGTGTCTATACTCACTTCTGCATTTCAAAGCTCATGTCCTTTTGGGCTAACCATTAAGTCTGGGCAGGTATCTGGGATCTGATCACAACGGCCTCATATGTCATGGAGAGGACTTTAGATTTTACCTTGTAGGTAAGCCACCAGGAACTTGTCAGGGATTTTGAGCAAAAGAGGGACCTGATTGAATTTTGTGTTACAAAATTCACCTGATCATTCAGGTGGTAGCTGGGAGATAGGTTGGAGGGTATGAGGCTGCAGACTGTAATGAGGAGAGAGGCCTACTGCAGTGACAGAACGGAACTGATAAGGGCTAAGCAGGGACTGTGACAGAGGAAATGCAGGAGAGGAAGTCAATGTGAAAAATAGTTGATAGTTGACAAGGATAGATGATCAACTTACCCTGATGAAGGCAACTCTATTTTGCTGTTATTATCAGCATCTGGCACAGCACCTGGCCTGAAGCACCTGTTTGATAAATGCTTTTGAAAGAATGAATGAGCCACCACTTAAAGTGGTGGCAAACAGAGGGGAACACATCTGGGAGGAGCTGCATTTCTGGCCTGGGCTCTGGATAGACAAGTCCCATTCACCTTGATTGATGATGTTGGAATTGGAACCACATGGGAGGTTTAATTTAATGGCTTTGGGGTGAAGACTTGAAGTTGGAGGAGTCTTGCAGCTGATAAGGTAGAGATATCCATTGGAGATATGGGCCTAGAGGCTAAGCAGGAAGATCTCCCAGAAGATAGATTTGGGAGAACTCAGCACACAGTAATAGTTGAGTCCATGGGTGCAGATGAGGTTAGAAGACAAGAGAGACAATGAGAGAGCTGTCATAAAGCAATCTTGAAGGATGCAAGGTAGGAGCCACATGTCTGGGACTCTAGAGGCCCTCTTTGCACTGGAAGAGAAACCTCTGTTGTCACTCAGGCCACCCCGAGCAGATGGGGACACCTTGAACTCACTGAGAATTCACCCCATCAAGGCAGGTTGGCTTGTTTCCTCCAACTCTACATCCTCTGCCTCTGACATCATTTTACATCGACCAAAAGGAACCCTAGTAAAATTAGCATATCGTTTTCTTTAAGAGATGAAGTATACTATGTCTTAATAAAGCTTGTCTGACACATTTTGTTTTGTCTAAATGGGTAAAACATGCAAGGAGAGGAATCTTAAAGCAATTATCTCTGCAATGTGAGTCATGACTGGTTTGTGTTTTCATCTCTATTCCTTTCTGTGTTTTCTCCAAGAGCCCATAGGACATTTAAAATCTGAAAAGAAATCTTTAGTTTTTAAAAATTACTTGATATGCAGACTGAACAACTATCTGTCTTAAATGAACTATGTATATTAAAGACTGACTTTACATTTAGAGTCAAATCTACATATTTTAAAATTATTTCGAGATTTGGCAAGTAATCTAGGTTACTAATCTAATGTCTGAATTTAAAGTGATTTGCTATGAATTCAGGTTTGGAAAATAAGAATCCATACAGAATATCTGAAAACAGCCCATTGTGTGTTCTGAAGGTCCAGTGCAACCTCTTGGAAGAGTTCTCTGCAAGGACCTGCTAGGGCAATGATCAAGGCCACCACATTTAGCTCTGCAGCTTGTACATTGAACAACACCCCCGGCAAGGAGAACTGTAGAGTTTAGAAGTTAGTGCACAATCAATTCAAACAAGTGGTAGCCTTCCTAATGATCGGTGACATTTTGAAGAACAAATCCATCACCTGCCTAAAGGTAGATCTCATTAATGGAATGAATACATTACCAAGGATTTGGCTATGAAAAAACTTACAAACTTTCAAAGTGCCCCCAAAATAAACAGCATAGGAAATGTTGTTAAATGTTCACTGTTACCCTACAATATCATAGAAATTTTTTAATTTTTAAGAAGAGACAACTAATTACATATTTCCTTTTATTCATTAAGGGGCTGTTTCGGTGTCGAAGGAAAGTCTGTCTTATGTGTTGAGTCAGGAGGGAGGTGGAAACATTTCAGTCATTGTCCTTGGGGGTGCCAAAGAATCACTGGATGCCCATCCAGGAAAATTGACTCTGGTCATCCGCCCAAGGAAAGGATTTATTAAAATCGCTTTGACTCATGGGTAAGTGGCTTTTTGTTGAAGGTAACTGGGTCAAGAAGGTTAAGACTTTATGAACACCAAGAAGGAAAGTCATTTTTCTAGCCCTTAAGGACTTCCTCCAAGTTGATCTTAGAATAAAAGCAGGTGTGGGTGTTCTTGGGGACCATAACACAACCTTTCTATGGAGGTTGCTTGGTGCCATGGCGTCCAGGAACTAACAAAAAAACAAAATGTGCACACAGCATAAATTTCCCACCAAAGGAACAAAATCCAATGAAAAAGAAGCTTCCCGAAACCCTGAGTAGCTTGCCGAGAATCACTCTCCTTCAAGTGTAATGCAGTTTCAGTCCTTAGGAAGTTACCTATATAGTACAAGGAGGCCTGGGCACATTCAAGAATTTCTAGGTTTTTTCATTGCAAATGTCAGCTGGACCAAAGAAATCATCTAAATCTTTCATCTCAAATTCTTATCCTTTCCCTTTGTTATTTGCAGTGCCCATTTGGTCCCAGTGTTTTCTTTTGGTGAAAATGATCTGTTTAAACAAATTAACAACCCTGAGGGCTCATGGCTTCGGACTGTTCAAGAAAAGCTGCAGAAGGTCATGGGGTTTGCTTTGCCACTGATTCATGCCAGAGGAATTTTTCAGTACAGTTTTGGCTTCATTCCCTATCGGAAACCTATCCACACTGTTGGTATGTACAGAAAATGAAACAAATTGTTATCTCGCTTTTAAGCAATATTAATGTTATTAAGGTGTCCATGTAAGACAAGTGGATTTGGATAAAATTTCCTAACATAAAAATTTGTAGGTGTTATTTGAGCTTTAATTATCATATGCATTTTATTTATGAAATGGCTGTTTTCCAGTTGAATGGGGATTGCTTTCAAGAACACCATTATTGAACTACAGGTAGAACCCAGTTTTATGCCACTGAGTCACACAGAAATAAAAGTTGCTAATACTCTGTAATGAATCATTTTCTCTGTACCAGCTGATGGCATGACAGTTCTTGAACAAGTTCCATCAGCATCTGTTAAACAGAAGAAAATTTCTATGTAGAAGATATTTTCATCACATTTCACTTAAGCATCCATTTCTATAGCAAAAGCATTTTTTTTGTGTATGTGCAATTGGCTAAATTTATATGTATTCTGGTATTGACTGATTTTATTTTTAAAAGTTACACATTTTGGAGAATTGAGTTGTTAAGAGGAGGGTAAAGATCCAAAAGGACAGAAGCAGAGCCAGGTCCTTGTATCTGGAAGGCTGAGGCAGGAGGATGGCTTAAGCATAGGGATTTGAGATCAGCCTGGGCAACATAGCATGACCCTGCCTTAAATAAGTAAATAAATAAGAGCATAATGAATGAGCTCCTCGAGTTGGGGGGAGACTGGTGAGTAAAAGGGAAAATGAGCCATAGCAGAATTAACCAAAACTAGATATTTTATATGAAACTGGAATAATATTTGCACCATGAATTAAATGAAATTGAAATATAGTGACTTTTTTTTTTTTAAAGATCTATTCCACTAGAATAAGATTTTCCAGTAACTGTTTACATAGCTTTGGAGTTTCCATGTTGTCACATGATGCCATCTTTAACTCAGATGTAACATTTACAGCCTGTTGGATAGTTAGTGTTTTAAGGGCACTGAAATAAGTTTAAGGTTACAACTGTATCCTTCAAGATCAGCTGGCTACATTTCTTTGGTATAATATTAATTGATCATTTTTTATCCCTATGTACAAAGTCCTATTACTGGTTTTGGGGTTGGGGACTATAAAGGAAATTTTAAGGCATGCCCATATGTTCACATGAAGTTGTAATTGCTGGAAGCAAAGGGTATTCTGTTGAATTAAGTGATCATGATTGGGTTAAGCTTTTTTTTTTTTAAGTAAAGTGGTTTATTGTTTGATTTAAGCAGATTACGCCTTTATTGACAAATAAAGGATTGGTCAATTGGTCAAACGGAATTGCTGAATCAGAGCTAATTGTCAAGACTGGAAAGCTATAGCTCTTGCATTCATTCATGTTTTTCCAGTGTACATCTTTTAAAGCTTCAGAATAAGGAACAATTCCTTTGATATGTCTCTCTACTTACCCTAAAACAATTACTAGGCTGTAGCATCCCCAGTATCCTATTATAATTTGGAGCCCTTTGAAAATCAAGTTAAGAATATGGGGGCTGGGAATGTGGCTCAAGCAGTAGTGCACTCGCCTGGCATGCATGCGAAACTGAAAAAAGTAAATATTAAAAAAAAGATTCTCTCTCTCTAAAAAAAAAAAAAGAATATGAACATTTCATGAAAACTCAGCTGCCATGGTCTTAGAGTCTGAGAGTGAGATGATTGACAGCAGCCAGCTGATAAGAAGCCAACCCTCCCTACCATGTGCACCTAAAGGATTTTGTTTACTCAAAAAATAGCAGAAGTTGAGGATAGGCTATTTAGAATCACAAGCTATATACCAAATGCCACTGAGAATAAAACACAATATGAAAACAATGTTTTGAATTGTGTGCATTTCTGTTTTATATCAATGCACTTAACTCAGAGGTCTTTTTGTGCTGACTCCATGAAAGAGCTCTCTCTGTCCCACCCCTTGGGGATTCAGGCAGCAGCCAGAATGCCAAGTTATTTTCTAGTCCCTTCTCCTTCTAGTGAGTTAAGAGTTCATTAACTTAAGTAATCTCTGCCACACATCGTAAGAAATATTATTTGGATTTCATGTTTCCAGGAGTGTGCTGATGTTAATTGCTTTTAAATTTTATGCTAAAACTAGAAAGGTTTCATGAGTAGTGAAATCCCTGCCTGTGTTCCTTTCTCCTGAACTTCACCAGTTGTTAACATTTTACTATGTTTTGATTTCTCTCTCATGGTGTAATAAATAGGCTTTCTACTGTTACCACTATTTGAGCAAATGCAGACCTCACGCCCATTTGCTCCTAATTACTTTCATGTGTATCTCTTAAGAACAAGAGTATGTTCTTCCATGACACCAGGACAGCTCAGGAAACCTAGCATTGCTGAAGTGCTACTAACAGTCCATGTTCAGATTCCACCAAATGGCCCAATAATTTTCTTGCTAACAATGGCTTTTTTTTTTTTTTTTTGGTTGGTGAGGTACAATATTTTTTTTCCCTGAGAGGATTAAGCATGCCACTTAATTTTCATCTCTTTAACCTTTTAAACTAGACTTAATTTTTTTTTATCCTTATCGCATGAACAGTTTGGACAATTCCACCCATTTGTGCCGTAGAATCCTCCACTGGGGAACGTGCTGTCATTTTGTCTCATTCTTGATTGTATTTTTTTTTTTTTTGAATCAAGTTTCAAACCCAGAGCCACATCCCCACCCCACCCCCTTTATATATATATATATTATTATTAGAGACAGAGTCTTGTTGAGTTGTCTAGGGTCTTGCTAAGTTGCTGAGGCTGGGCTTGAACTCACGATCCTCCTGCCTCAGCCTCCCACATTACTGAGATTACAGGCATGTGCCACCATGCCTGGCTTCAGCTGAATTTGTTTTGATCACTAGGCAAAGTGTTTCTCTGATTTCTTTAATGGAAAGAGAATATTCTTTTTTACTTTATATTAACAAAGACCCCAAGAGTGGTGTTCCTCAGAGATACGTAGTTATCCTGCCCCTCGCCCAGTGTAACTTGGTGGCTTTAATATCCATTGATAATTCGTGCTTGGGTCAGTCATTATAGCCACGGCTACAAACTGATGATTTCCAAGCTAGAGTATTCCTTCTGTATTTATTTGTTGGCATTTTACCACAGAGAAGGGCTTGCCCTCCTCGCAGGGCCCCCCTCCCCTACAGCCAGGCTTCTCTGCTGTGTTAGCGTGTGCCACAGAAAGGGCTCCGGACCCTTCCCCAGCCTCCACGTCCTGGCTTCTAAGAGCTCCGGGCCTATCTTCTGAGTATGGATGTGATAGAAGTGTTTATTTTATTTTTATTCTGATCGCAACATTGGAAAAATATAAACAGTGCCATTAAGAAATTGGTTCTTTCCTTTGGAGGGCATGCCCTGACTGTTTGCATTGAACACAGACCCCTGCTACTCACAGATTGACAGTGACTYTAGGAAGGCATTTATTATGCACCACCGAGACATACAGAAGGAAGTGGTGTGGGCTTGAGGCCTAACTCCAAGTGACTTTGAATGTTTCCTTTATCTTCTCTGAGCCTCGGATTTTTCAGATACAAAAGAGGAGATAAGTATAATTGCCCTGTCTTCTTTCAGGGCTCTTCTGGGGATTATATGTCATGATGCGTGGGAAAGTGCTGCCTAACTCCATGCTCKCAGGTGTAGGTTGGAGCCCAGAGCAGGAAGCTTCCTGACCAGCTTGTCGAGAGCTTTCAGATGTGTTTGGCTTTCCCTGTGGAAGTGTTCTTGCCAAAATGTTAATCCGAATCAAATCATGAGGAAATAATCAGACTAATCCAGATTGTGGGACATCGTATAAAACATCTGGCCTGAACTCTTTAAAAATATCAATGTAATGAAAGACAAAGAGGAGGGGATGCTCCAGACACACAACAGCTGTCGTGGATGGGGAGGGGGGAACAACCATAAAAGATGTTGAGACTGTTGAGAAAGTTTGCATGTGGACTAAGTGCATAATAATTTGCATGGAGGATCAGATTCTTGGGCATAATAATGATGCTGTTATCTAGGACACTGTTCTTTTAGGTAAGGTAGCCTGAAATATCTAGGGATGATTCACATGATTGAATCATTGATGCCCACAACTTACTTTTCAACACTTGGACAAAAATAAAAATAATCATATATACACACACACACACACACACACACACATATATATATATATATATATATATGCACATATATATATTTAACATGTATATGTGCTCATATGCAGAAAATGCTAGAAATTGTTGGGTCTAGATGGAGTATGCAAGTGCTTATTATAGTGTTCTTTCCACAAGTTTGAATTTTTTAAAAAATAAAAATGACAGGGATGTGTTATGGTTTGGATATGAGGTGTCCCCTACAGAGCTCCTATAGATGCAGGAATGTTCAGAGGTGAAATGGTTGGACTGTGAGAGCTGTAACCTCATCAGTCTGTCCTCATGTGATGGACTAACTSGGTGGTCATTGCAGGCAGGTGGCATGGCTGGAGGAGGTGGGTCACTGGGAGTGTGCATCTGTCCTGTGGCCTCTTCCCCTCTGTGTCCTGGCCCTGCCATGAGCCCTTCCCGAATGAAATGCTGCCTTACCTGGGGCCCCACTTTTGGGGTCTGCCATCTATGGACTGAGACCTCTGAAACTATGAGACCTCCATTAACTTTTCCTCCCCTAAGTTCTTGTCAGGTGTTTTGGTCACTGTGATGCCAAAGCTGATTAAAACAGGATGGGAATGTACTTCGTTTATATAAAACTGACTTGGAACCACGTGAGGACAATTCTCGCCCAAGTTCATTATGGCTCAAGTCATCATATTCTGATGGGAAAAAGTAGGGTAAGGGATTTTCTGAAAAGTAGGGTAAGGGATTTTCTGAACCGGAAGGAAAAGAAGGGGAACTTAATTTAAGCCTTAATTATAAAATGAAAGAGATAAAAGGAGATAATATATGTGAAAAGGACTTATTAGAGGAGGCAAGACTTTACCTCCACCTTCTTAGGATCTCCAGCTGGGCCTGAGAATTCCCTTGA